ATGTTGATGCATGTTTCATGACTCTTATGATTGGACAAAGCTTTTTTTAAGACAACAGCTGTCCTTTTTATGTATTAAACGTCTGATATTTTAATGTTGGTTAATTCCCCTGAAGAAGTCTGATCGAGTTTGACGAACGCAGGAAACGTTGGCATTTTATTCTTCTTCTTTCTTTTCTTTACTTCAGCTATCTCCTACAGGAGGATAAACCGGCTTCATGAACATCTCGAATGTTTGTAAGAGAGTTTATGAAGTTTCATGGGAATTAGGTACGAGTGATGTCCCCAGAATCGCTCGGCCTTTATGCTTGAGAGTACAGCTCTAGCCTTTACACAACCAAGTGTGACCTACAAGGCAGTAGGAGTGTAGTAGGGAGTCCACTATCCATTGTCAGCCAGCCGGTGACCGGAGTCCGGTTCATACGCCTTTTTGAATGGGGCCAGACATCCAGGTCATCCAATAAGCCATTTGTCCATACCTCTGCCGGTGAGCTTCATACGCCAGTCGTTGGAGGTTTGGAATCAGGGTTTAGCCATCTCCCCTAGACCGTCATCCAATGGACAGTCAACCCGGTGGAGAGCGCCGGGCATCCGCTTTCGCCCTCTCACTTCGGTGAAAAACACCTCCGCCACGTGAAGGTAGTGAGTAGGACTTCCTCAGGAGAGGCTATGTAAGACGCACGATCATATGGGAGCATTTCAAGATGTGTACGGAGGGGTGGCCAACCCGAAGCGCAAGGTACCCACCCCCGACCATCCTGAGGCTTTGGAGGCATTTTATTCACTTCGCTGAGATTCGTACAAATATTTTTACACATAACTATTGGATTCACTAGCACATAGGCACATAGGTGAAGAGGAGATGAAAAAATTATGGACAGGTGTAAAAAGCCTGTTGGCAGAGAAGCGAGTGTACTGAAGATGTACTGCTGTTTCTGCTGCTGAAGTCGTACGTTCTACTCGAAAGTCAGTGGAACGAATAGTGGTAATATTGAGATAATATAGAATCATTTCATAAGCCAATTGCAGTTTTGGAAAAGTTGACAAGATTCTAAAATTAAAACATTATTTCATCATTGGTATTTCGTACCTATCCAATAACAACAAAAACAAGCACCAATCACCATCAACGACAGAAATATTGACAAGGAATCGCACCATCCACCTTACCTACCTGAGGCAGCATTGTCCCAATTACCAGCAGCACGGATGAAGATATTTAAGTCAACAAGGATGGAAAAAGCAAAATAGGCCTCCATTAGTTTGAAATTATTTTCTATAATTTGGTTTGTAAGGGTTAGTTTTGTTTTTTTACGAGTTGACCATAGATTGATATCAGTTAGAGAACCATTGAAAACCACCACTAGAGTACTGGACAGCTGTTTCGTCCGTCCTAGTTTGGAAATCATCGGCAATACGCCCACCCACCATACAGGGGGTTCGAACCCAGGACCTTCCGGTTACAAGGCAAGCTGGCTCCTATACCATTCGATCACTGGGACCCGATTCAATGACCAGCCCATGAATTCTAACTTCTAACAATCCTCCAACGAAAGCTGAAGTCTTGAATGCAATGAAGCTACTGAAAGCTGGAAAAGCAGCTGGACCAGATGGAATAACCCCTGAAGCACTGAAAGCGGACGCAGAGACTACAGCAGACATGCTGACTCCATTATTGCAAAAGGTCTGGAAGGAGGGAAACGTGCCTACTGACGGGAGGAAAGGTTACCTCGTGAAACTACCAAAGAAGGGCGACTCAGGCCTCACTCTGCAAGAACTGGCGAGGAATCATGCTCCTGTTGACGCCAAGTAAAATCCTGTGCCGCACCATCCTGGAGAGAATAAAAGACGAACTGGATGCAGAACTCCGACCAGAACAAGCTGGATTCAGAAAAGGCAAATCATGTACTGACCGAATTGCAACTCTACGCATCATCATCACAGAACAAAGCATGGAATGGCAATAAGCCTCCACCTCAACTTTATAGACTTTGAGAAGGCCTTCAACAGCGTTGATCGTGAAGTAATTTGGAAACTACGGCGTACCCCAAATATTCATCAACCTTACTCAACAGCTGTACGACAACGGTACATGTCAAGTGATCCACAACGGAAAACTCAAAGAGGCGTTTGGAGTAAATACAGGAGTCAGACTAGGGTGCTTATTATCACCAATGATTTTCCTAATTGTGGTGGACTGGATTATGCATCAGACAGTGGGAAACGAGAAGACAGGAATATCCTGGACCGACTGAAGTGAAGAACCTAGAAGACCTGGATTTCGCCCGTGGATGATTTATGTTTGATGTCACTGTCACAAAATCGAAGACTTACTAGCGAAAACCGACAAACTGGTCGAAGAAGCAGCAAAGACAGGACTCCAAGTGAACATAGAACAACAACAACATCCAGCGCCAGTCACCATCAACGGGAGGGATTTGAAAGAGGTCACTTCATTCACTTGTCTAGGGAGCATTGTCTCAACTACAGGCAGTCGGAACGGACGAGGATATCAAATCGAGGATCGGGTAGTGGGCGAGAAACACATTCATCAACCTGACTGAAAACAATCTGGAAATCTTCGTCACTCAGTCAACATCAACAACAAAATTCGGTCAGATTTTCAAAACAAACGTCAAGTCAGTTCTTCTATACAGATCAGAAACTTGGCGGGTGGGTCGCAAAGAATATTTCCAACAGCCTATTACCGTCTCCCCTCTATACTGAAGATCAGATGGCCAGGCCGGAAAGAATCACCAACAAGAAGCTATGGGAAGAAACAAAAGAAGATCCAATCGCCAACCAACAAATATGCATGAGGAAGTGGAGATGGATTGGACACTCGCTGTGGACGCCGGTTGGTGACATCGCGCGTCTGGCCATTAATTGCTTGAGTGAAACCAGGCCGAAAGGGAAGCGACTAGTGGGACGTCAGTGCAAGGGTGACATGGAGATCGTGTGAAGAGGAGTTGAAAGAGTATGGACTAGCATGGATGCAGGTGAAAAGTACAGCAAAAGACAGAAACAAGTGGAGACATGCAGTTGAAGCCCTATGTTCCACTAGGAACCCAAGGGAAAATTAATATATAATACAATAATACCAATTCATGATTTAGCGCCGCCCCAGCCGGTGGGACATCCATCCTCACACGTGACATCTGGATGGACCTCATTGGTCACGATGTCTCACTAGAACTCCAGGAAACTCCATCCTGTAGCAAGTCATGTAGCGAGTATCAGATTAATTTTCTATAGTTTGGTTTGTAATGGTTAGTTTTGTTTCTTACGAGTTTATTACTTTGAAATTAACGTGGACATCTACTGCCCTCACAGTACAACAAAAAGGATCCAAAATTTCATGACTAATATCAAGTCAGTCAGTGCTTCCACATGGTTCTGAAACTCGATACCCACATCGCTGTAAACTTTCATCAACAGTGTTGCCTTCACTGCCCCAAACATACTGGAGATCAGATAACTACAAAGCGTTAGTAGTAACAAGGAGCTCTGACAACGAACCAACCAAGTAGCTGTATCCCCTAACAAGCACACTTCACGAAATGGAGACAGATTGGACATTGGCTGAGGAGACCATTAGGTGATATTTTGTGCCACGAATGTATTATTACTATTATTATTATTATTGCCATTGTTTAATTCCTTTACGTCCCCAGTGGAACATAGGGCTTCAGGCTGTTTATTTTTACGAGGTGAAACTCTGCTAGCCTCATACTCAATCTTCCCTCCAACCACCGACTTAGCGAGGTTTAGGGGTGCGTCGAGGACGGAGGATCAGTCCCCGAACCTTTGGCGTGGGGTTGGCGAAAGTTCTACCGGTGAACACCTCCGATGTAGGAGGCGAATGAGAAACAGAGTATTAAGCGTTCCACAAAAAAAAACTTATGAGCAATCATGGAGTCACTGATATAAGTATAAAACTTGGGCACTGTGGTGGTATAGTATAACTCCATTATGGATAAGATTTTATTTTGATAAGTCACACAGTGTTACAGAGTAATATTAACTGATGACCACGTTCCAAGCACAAACTATTACTGCTCATAATCATAACAAGTCACTCACTCAAACAACTTTTTCCTTCATTTATATACATGTGTGGAAGACCCAATTGGCCCAATTAAAGAAAATGATAATTTACAAAATATCCTGCAATGACTGTGAGTTGGGTCAACTATATAGGTCAAACTAGTAGATCGGCGTAATCAGATTGGCGGAACATAAGAATTTAGATAAGGTAAGAATGGTTGACCCTGAAAAGATAAGCAATTTAGAAAAAAGCTCAGCTATTGCACTTCAGGCATTAACAAACAACCACAAAAAAGGGTGGGATAGGGTTAAAATTCTAAAAAGTAATCTATCTAGGTGAAGAGAGAGAGATTGATTACTGAATCCTGCCTTGTTCATCGAGTCTACACACCCAACACATGTAAGAGAAATGACTCAATGTAAATACCAGAGATATGTATGGAAGATATTATTACAACCAGTCAGTCCAAGCAGTGGAGGATAATAAATAATCTCAAAATTCTATTTCAATTCAATTCACGCACATCATAACATTCTAACAAGTGACTTATTATGACTATGATAAACACTCGTCTTATTTCTCATCTGATTGTAATTGATCAATAACACTCATATTATTATTTCTGAATGTTCATTATCCAATAGTGATTTTTATTCAAATGTCAAATCATCAATTCCACTCATGTATACAGATGAAGCGAGAGAGTTGTGTGAGTAACTTGGTATGATTATGAGCAGTAATCATTTGTGCTCGAAACGTGGTCGCATCAGTTCATATTACTGTATAACAACACAGTGTGACACTTTATCAAAATAAAATCTCATCCATAATGGAATCATGAAGTCAGGTGAAAAGGACTACAGGGAAGTTGAAGTCCCAGGTTCCACACTCATAATCATCATAATAATAATAATAAATACTACTTTATAAGAGCAAACAATCACATCACTTACCCTTTCTTTCCAATACGATTACATGAGATTTGTATGCCAACACAGACAAGACAATAGGCTGTTAACAGATTGATAACTTTTGAAAATTCTTTAGATAAACGATTTGGATCAGTCAGATGACGTCGACGAACTGGTAGATCATAGAATAATTCATTTACGCATACAGTAGTGCCTTGTGCTCTAGCCATACCACGTCGGTTAACTATTTGTCCTGATGAGTCAAATTCAAGTTTTGTACCCATTTTCACGCCTGCTGCACATGTGTGTATAGTGACTCTTCTAAAGCACAAACAAAAACACAAGAAGAAGATAAGTCATCCTTATTCAAGTATTGGTTTGATTAACCGGTTACAGGATTTTATCATGAGCTGACATTGGTTGGAGAACCATTGGAAAACCTGTCATGGAGTACTGGACAACCAGCTGTTTCGTCAGCCTACTTTGGATTTCTTCGATGATTTAATAATTCCCATTGTATCATTAAAAACACAATATTCAGCGAAGAGACTCTTTTCAACAACGAATTTATTATCAAGCTGAACAATTGTATATAAATAGTTTTATATCTGCTGAGGGAATTAGGTCAAAAGTGTGAATATATGAAATAATATTAGTAGTATGAAATGCAATTAAAATATTTGTGATTATAATCATAGTTAAATGTCAAGTAGCAAAACAATCAATGTCATATATAGAACAATACATAAGATGGATGCATAGATTTTGGAATGGGGTATATAATTATAAGATTAGTAGACGAATATAAAATGTTACATAACATAGTGTGAAATTTGATAAGATAGAATTCAATATTGTAAAAATAAAAAATATAAAAATTAATAACCGATTTATTGACAGCAACATGAAAGATAAGCAGTCGAAAACTGGTCACTGACTTAGTTCCAAAGAAAACCTTATTCTAGGAACTTGGAATTCAGAGGTGATCAAGCTTCAGATATGCTCAAAAAAATCGTATCTCTAAATCAGTCAGTCTAAGACGTTCTTTGCAGTAAAATTACATATGACGTTCACTAGCCTCAAGTTGTTCTCTAACTCTGTAAGAGAACATATTCCAGCAGCATGGTTTTACAGGGAAGAAAGGAAGTGTGTGCGGAGTTCTATTCTAGAACACCTGATCGACTTCGGCCACTCTGCCAACCGTGACCATGATTTTGAGATCGTCTACCATATCCATGCTAACTTCCTGCGTTTTCTTCGTTACAAACTTCTAAATGCAGTTGAGGCCTTGGCAATTCATGACTGTAAGCCAGACCTTTGTGTATAAAAGAAGTATGTACAATCCCTACTGCTGCCTTGGCCGTAGAGGGATAGACATTTATTTATTTTGTTTATTATTTGTTTGTTATTGTATGTACCTTTCCCTCATTACTTCGATTATTTTTATTGTTATTATCATTATTATTATTATTATTCTCACTCTGAATCTTTTCCACTTGACCCACTTGACATTTTAAACCCGAAATTATTAACTTTTATATTTTTTATTTTTACAATATATTGAGTTCTATCTTATCAAATTTCACACCCTGTTATGTAACACTTTAAATTCGTCTACTAATCTTATAATTACATACCCCATTCCAAAATCTATACACCTTATGTATTATTCTATATATGCCATTAATTATTTTGCCACTTGACATTAAACTATGATTATAATCACAAATATTTTAATTGCATTTCATACTACTAATATTATTTCATATATTCACACCTTTGACCTAATTCCCTCAGCAGATGTAAAACCATATATATACAATTGTTCAGCTTGATAATAAATTCGTTGTTGTCCAGTACCCCCAGGTTTTCCAGTGGTTCTCCAACTGACGTCAGCTCATGATGAAATCCTCCATGCAATCAAACAAAATCCCTACAAAACCAATACTTGAAAACATAAATAATTAGTTAAAAACTCACGCTAGACGACACAGTGAAGATAAAGCTTCCCCACGAAAACCATAGGTTTCCACTGAACTTAAATCATCGAAGGTGTTTAGTTTTGAAGTACAATACTTTCCAGCTGGATTGACCATAAACAAAGTATACGTATTCAACACTTACTAAGACCTTCAAAATCTTCTTCTTTGATTCCACTGCCATTGTCAATTACTTCAATAGAATCACTACCATGACCTCTTAACTTAATTTCTACAATCAATCAAGGTATTAATTGAAAAAATGTTCATTTAGTGTGTTACCTATTTTAGAGGCGTTTGCATCAATACTATTCTCCAAGAGTTCTTTCACAGCTGAAGCAAGTGTAACGACCACTTGACCAGAACAAATTTTATGTACTAAATTTTTATCAAGTCGTGAAATAACAGGTGATGATTGAGGTTTTGTAGAATCCATAGGAGAGGAGAGGAGATGAAGTAAGGTAATAAAATAAAATCGGCTCAGGAACAATCTATAATAAAATTGAAGAAAAATTAGTGCTCTTTATTTTTAAAATTATATATAAGATTAATGTAGAGTACTTTGAAAATTCGTTTAAATTTGATAATGATGGATTGTTACAGAATAAAGGGGCTGAACCAGCGCTTTCCTTGAAGAGTAATGTTAGCAGGTTGGAAAAGAGTCAACGATGATCAAATAGAAATCTGGCACTACCACACTAAGTCAGCCATGCAGAAAAGGGTAGACCACAGTTTGGTTAGGGTCTACAGGATGCTAAGAACCAGCGGTTGCAGACTATTGGTGAAATGGCTCGAAGTGGTTCTCAATGCCACAAATGTGTTCACTCTTTGGTGTCTCTCATATTTCACTACACCCTTCTGTTTTTTCCACGTTACTATTCTGTTTCGCGTACATTACAGTTCATTATAGTTGCGTTCAATTTTCCTTTTCTCTCTAACATTGTGCGCTACATAGAATGTCGTAACTTGAATTGATGCACTTCTGTGAAGCAGAGTTCTATGTTGAAAGTAGTCAGTTAACCCCGAAAACAACTTTCATATTCCTACAGTGATAATAACTGGACTACATCGACGCCTAGTTTAAAAATAGGAAGTGAAGTGGTAGAGCACGTTGACCGCTTCACTTATTTGGGAAGTACCATGAACCAGTGCCAACGAGTTGATCTCTGACGAAATCTCAGCACGGATACAGGGGATTCGTTTCGCATTTGCCAGTTTACGCCGACTCTGGCGTAGACGAGATGTTCGACTATCGACCAAAGGGCGGGTGTACTGCTCATCAGTCCGCTCCGTCCTCCTTTATGACTAGCTGTGAGTGAGACCTGGCCACTGAGAGTGGAAGACATGTAAAGGCTGACTAGCTGTCTTTGATCATAGGTGCCTGCACTCTATCTCCCGTGTAAAGTGGCATAATAAGGTGAGCAACATTGAAGTTAGGCGTCGAGTTCTAGGTAAACAGGGGAAATCAATCGACGAAGTTGTGAAGTTACAATGACTGAGATGGTTAGGACATGTGTTACGTATGCCTAGCCAGTCATCGCCTCCCTCGACGAGCAATGTTAGCGGATATAGGGTCAGGCTGGAAAAAAGCTAGTGGTGGTCAAACAAAAACTTGGCTTCACCAGTCAACGAAATCCACAACAGTTGGTCTAAGCCACGTAGGAAGGTGTATCCTTCTTGGCTGGTTGGGGTCCTCGGGACAGTAAAAATCTATGGTTGGAAACAATTGGTGACATGACTCAAAGTGATCGTTCTCAGTGGCTAGCGCAGATGCATCCACTCCTTGTGACTTATGATCCCCAATGAAACTGTTTTGTTCTTCGTTAATACTACTCCTTTGTCTCAGCCCTCTGCTCACTGTTTCTATTATGCTTTTCTTGTACTTTCTTCTCTTACTTAGCGTGCTACACGGAGTGTGGCGACTTGAACTTCCGCACATTTGTGCAAAGTTCTATGTCGAAAACAGACAGACAGACAGACAGTGATAATGAATAATGATTTAGTTACTACCGTAAAGTTCACCAACACACATGCTGACAGTCAGTGACTTTGTGAAATGTTGTAAACTTTATTTTTCCTTACACCATCATCCATAGTACTTTCATATTCTTTTTTTATTAATCACACAGTGATGATGTGGTATTAACAACAGGATGACAAGCTTTCGAGCATAAATTATTGCTGCTCATAATCATATCAGTTAGGCCACACAGATTCACAATTTATCTTATGCATATTTCCTCTCTTTCTCTCTCTCTCAAACTTCCCTTTGTTGTTTGTTGCCACTTTCCATATCTCAAGTATAGACGTTGTGTAATTCCGATTGCACGTGTGTGGTACTGAATCGATAAACAAAGCTTCACCTAACTGTATTACCTTTTAATACTCTCATCCACCCTATTTTTAGTGATGACATAAAAATGAATGCAGTGCAATGGCCGAGCCTTTTCCAAGGTTATTTAACTTACTAAGTAGGGTCTAGCCAAATTTTTATATTCCACTAATCTACTTGAACCTGATCTACTAGTTCGACCGATGTAAGTCACTGCGCCTAAAACCTCACTCAGAGACAAACTCTGTGGGCTAAAAGACCCGGTGGACCCAATTAAAAAGATATATAATTTATAAAATACCTTGTAGTGACTGGGTGGTCAACTACATGATCGAATTTAGTAGATCTGGGGTAGTCAGGTTGTCGGAAGATGAGAATTTAGCTAAGGTTAGAATGGTTGACACGGAGAAGCGATTGCACTGCATGCATTAACACATAACCACACAAGAGAGTGGGAGAGGGTTAAAATTCTAAAAAGTAATCTAGGTAGATGGAGAGATTGATTACTGAATCCTGCCTTGTTCATCGAGTCTACCTACACCCAACATATGCAATAGAAGTGACTCAATGCAAATACCATAAATATGGAAGATATTATCACCACCAGTCAAATCAGTGAAGGATAATAAATAATCTTAAAATTCTATTTCAATTCACGTACATCATAACATTCTAACAGTGTGAGTCGGTGGCATAGCGGTTAGGACGCTCGCCGACCATGCACATGGTCCGGGATTCGATCCCCGGCCGACGCACTGCTTTACCTCGATAAAACAGTAATAAGACTAGTAAAGAGGAAAGGTTGAGCGTGAGGCTAGCAACCCCATCCTGTAAAAATAAACACTGCTACAGAAACTTCAAGCCACTAGCTTGAAGCCCTATGTTTCACTGGGAACGTGAAGTAAAAAAAAGGCATTCTAACAAGTTACTTATTTCGACTATAAAAACACTCGTCTTATTTCCCATCTGATTTTATTCGACTGATAGCACTCATATTATTATTTCTGGATGTACATTATCCCATATTGATTTTTATTCTAATATATAATCCACTCCACACATCTATATAAATGAAGTTGTGCGAGTAACTTGATATGATTATGAGCAGTAATAGTTTGTGCTCGAAACGTGGTCATCAGTTAATATCACCGTATAACACTGTAATTTATCAAAATAAAATCTGATCTATGATGGAGTTATACTCTACCACAGTGCCCAAGTTGACTGATCTTGTTTATGTAGTTTGATTTGCCCATGACTAGTGTAGTATTATCCTTGCCCGCCTTTGCGACCACTATACTTTGTCTTGTCTCAAGCATTTCAGAGATGCTATCTGTTTTTCTGACACAAAAAATCAGAAAGGAAGAAGCAACTTATCTCCAAAAAAGAAACAGCAGCTCTAAAAAGCTTGAGACACGACAAAAATATAAGGATTGCAAAGGCCCACAAGGGTCGTCACGTAGACCGAGCCTCCAGAGATGGTATCCGAGATCGCTGTGTGAATAATCTCCTTTGCCGCTTTCCAATGTTCCTCCATGGATGTCCCGGGCCATTCTGCGTCGGCCAAAAGTCTTCGCACTCCGAAATCGTAAGCTTTGCAGTAGCGCAGACATAGTCACGTAGCTTCTCACTGTAAACGCTCAAAGAGAAAATCAAACCCTATGATTGCGTGGTCACTGCCACCTAGAGGGGTCATGATTTGGACATTTTCGACAAGTAGCTGGCCACTGGTTAGAATATAATCTCGTTTCGATGACTTTCTACTAGGGCCCCATATAGGGTTGTCTCCAACGTCCTCAGTCAGTCCTGCAATTCTAATGGTGTGGAGCAAATTTCGACCGAGTTTCCTCTGAACATATTTTGGTTTAAGGTGGATGGGTGGAACATTGGAGTTTTCAGATCCACCACTTGTCGAAAATGTCTAAATCATGACCCCTCTAGGTGGCAGTGAACACGCAATCATAGGGTTTGATCTTCTCCCTATAGCACACAGAGAATTCTACGGGACAAGTAGACAATAAAGGTGCCTCACTAAGTCATAAGCACAGATAGTATTAGAAATGTTCACTTATATAGCCCCGAAAGGTTGTCATTGAACTGAGAAACTCTCCTGTTGCCTACGTACCCAAATGTCTGAGGAGCCTCTTAAGCAGCTAACCTACTACCCAGTTCCAAATATTGCAGTCAATGTTTGGAAGGCGCTCGAATGCTAAGTGTTACCACAATGAACATAATGTATCCAATGTCCAATCCCTGAAATATACAACTGACGACATAGCACCTTAGAAGCATTCACAGATTTTCCATTCAGATCTCACATGTGTTAAATAAGAGCATTAGTCCACTCTATGTTGTAGCTAAAAAGATAGCCCAGAGTTGGGCTGAGAAAACACATACCTAAGTATATTCAAGGTTCTAGTAAAACCGAAGAGTTTACCAAAGGAAGGATGATATTATAACTAAACACAAAATTTAAGTATTATTCCTTGTATAATGCTATCTTAGATCTACGTAAAGCAGGTGCTAAGGAGAAAACAAAGTTAGGGAATGATACGTCTTCGACCATAATGTGACTTTATCCCGAAATTTAAATCAAATACTATACATCGCTAAACCGTATGGATATCTTTTTGCACTATAATGGATTTTTGATTTCAGCTTGATTCCACACCGTACTTTTTGGTACAAGTATGGAATTTTCACCATGTGATTTTGGTAGACCAAATTTTGCAGGCCGACCAGGTGTGCGTCGGCAGGGGATCGAACCCCGGACCATGTGCATGGTCGGCGAGAGTCCTGACCACTGTGCCACCGACGCATAGCCATCCCCACTCAGAATTACGAAAGTACCTGTCTTATTTTAGGTTGTCAAGTGTTATCTATCAACAGTTGTCAGAATTTCACTTCGACTGTTAGAAGATACATCGTTTTAGGGTACTGGTATTCATGCGTTCTCTCAATGTCGGCGATTACCCTACAGAAGTAATTATTTAAATTAGAAATATGCCATCGTGTTTAACCATAGAATACGTGTGAAGCTATTATTCGGTCAGTCAGATATAACAGATAGTGGCACCGTATTACTAAATGAATGACGTTATGAA